TAAATAAATAAATATAAAAAGATGTGTTGCAATGGGTAATTCTGTTGCCATGAACCTCTTCAAAGTGCTAAAGAGCAAGATTTAAAGTCTAAAGTGTGCCTGATTTGAGTCATGGTATTTTCAATTGCTTCATATGCATATGTAAATTGGGTAGTGAATAAGGAAGGTTGAAGAAGAAAAGATGTCTTTGAATTGTGGTGTTGTAAAGGATATTTGAATATCTGTGAATTGCCAAAAGGACAAACAAATGTTGTGGAGGAAGTGCATCTGTGCTCTTTAGACAAAAAAGATGGTGAATCTTTATCTTGCACTTTGGACAGTTGTCAGAAGACACCTGACCTTGGAAAAAGACATGATTTTTGGAAAGTAGAGGGTCAGCGAAAAAGAGGACACCTTCAACAAGATGGATTGACATAGGACTGCAACAATAGGGTTGAGTATGGTGAAGATTAGGGTGATGGCACAGGATAGAACAAAAAATAGGGTTGCTATGAACTGCAGTTGATCCACCAGCACCTATAAACAACCAGTATGATGGATGAAGCGCCGAGGCCATTATTGTTCCCTTGTACTGTCTTAGCTTTGTTGACCTTAGAAACTGGGCTACAAGTGCCTCTATGATCTAGCATGCCAGGGAACACGACTTTAGGGGTTGGCCAATTCCTTGAAAATACACCTAGTCTCTACTTTATAGCACTTTGTACCTATACATTTTAAAACTTAAGTGCCAGTTGACTATAATTCATAGTAACCCAATGGAAAAAATCAGAAACTTGTCCTATCCCTGTGCCATCTTCATGGTCTGATATGACTGAACCTATTGTTATAGTCAATGTGTCAGTGTAGGTGGTTGAGAGTCTTCCTCTTTTTCAGTTTCTCAGCATGATGTCTTTTCCCAAGGACGTGTCCCTGTTGTGTCGTGTTATTGTGTTTTGTCTAGTTGAAACCGCTTTGACTCCAGCGAGTTTTCAGAGGCATTTAATCACAAGGAAGGAAATTGCCTATCCTCCCATGGAGCAGCTGGTGGCCTAGAACTGTGTGTATTCGAGATTGCAATGCAGTTCTTTTGCCACTGGGCTACTGGAGCTACCTTGGTCCCTTTACTGCTATTAAAAACATAACTGTCCTGTGGATAGCCAAAAGAAAAAAGTACCTGAGGTAAAGTTTTACCATCCTTACCTCAGCCAAAATCTTGTCACCTTGGAGCTACCCTTGCAAAGGAAATCAACTACAAAGATGGTCAACTGAGACCCTACCACTTAAATTTCGTAAATGTCAACCAACTAGAACTAGCCCATCTGTATTCTACCCCCTCACACAACCCCGCGGCCCGCCCCCCCCTTACTTGGATTTTTAAACTTTATTCACCTCTGTACCTTAGTATTCTCTTGAAATGCTAGACAAGAATACCTTGACTTCTTTGCTTTGCAAAATGCTTTTTTGCTTGCAATAAATGCCTAATTTTAAGCCAACTTATAATTTTTTAAAAGTACAGCAAAGTTCTAATTGGTAGCATCAGGATGGATGGTGAAGTGATTGAGATTGTTAACAACTTTAGTCTGCTTGGCTCCACGGTCAACACTCTCGGCATTAGTAGCCAGGAAATAAAAAAACATATTGCGATGGGAAAGTCTGCTGTTAGGTACCTCGCCAGGGTACTGAAGAGCAATGGTGTCACTCTGGAGACATGGTGTCACTCTGGAGACAGATACAGGCTATGGTCTTTGCAATCACTTGTTATGCATCAGAGAGTTGGACAATGACTCGGGAGGCTAGAAGGAGAATTGATGCCTTTGAGCTGTGGTGCTGGAGAAGAGTATTGAATGTACCATGGACTGCCAAGAAAACAAACAGATTCATCCTGGAGAGGGTGAAGCCAGGCTGCTTCTTGGAGTCAAGGATTCTGGTCTGACATACTTTGGACATGTTGTAAGGAGAGACAGGTCCTTGGAGAGGGACATCATGCTTGGGAGGTTGGAGGTACAGCGCAGGAGGGGAAGACCCTCTATGAGGTGGATTGATTCAGTGACTGGGGTAATCGGGATGTGTGTGTCAGAGGCAGTCCGATTGACACAGGATAGAGCAAGGTTTAGGGCTCTTGTGCATAGGGTCGCTATGAGTCGCAAGCGACTCAAAGGCACATGACAACAACACAACAGCAAAGTTCAAGATGTAAATAACTCTCCAGGGCTCCATCGACTTAACACAATCCAGTGGTGATTTTTTGTTGCTGTTTTTTACCCTTTTGGTCCAATTAGAAATTCTTAGGTCCACGTCTGTAGGCACTGGGTAAGTTTGTAAAAGAAAAACCGGCAGCCTCAGCTAGGCCTTGTGAGCGCGGTTGGCGTCCCGTTTCCACGGAGACGGACCATTTTATTCTGTGTCAGGGGTGTCCTTTATTTTGTGTGGGCTTTTCTGCTCAGCGCAGGGCCCGAAGCGTGTTCTGAGTAGCCGAAGGGGCTCGGGGTGGGGGGGTCTTGCAGGATCCTTGTAACACCGGAGCCTCATGGGGTGGGCGCCCCACTCCGGGAAGGATCTGGGTACCGGCGTCCACCCCTCCGCCCCGTGGCGCAGCCCGAGGCGCGCAGTGGCTCGCGCGTCTCTCTAGAAGCTCGCGGCGCTCCGCCCGCCCGGAGCACCCCTGGGGCGACCACCAGGATGCCCGAAGCCAACTCCTCCTGCCGGGAAGCCATGCCAAGCAGGAAGAAAAAGAAGCCGCCCGCGCGCCGCACGGTCAGCCAGATCTGCCCTCCTCCGCGACGCCCCCTAACCGTGGCCGACATACGGCCGGGCATGGAGAACGAGAGGCTGGGGGTCGTGAGGGATTCCATGTTTCAGAACCCGCTCATCGTCAAGGTGAGCCCACCGCCCCTTCGCGCTCTAACCCCTCACCGGCACCCACGCTCCCTGAGGTTTTCACCCCCCCCCCGAGCCCCGGACTCTCGCGGACCTGGGCTACAATCCGGGGCCATGGGCATGTCAGACGTCTTTCTTACCTTTTCTCACATGGGCATGTCAGACGTCTTTCTTACCTTTTCTCATCCTTAAAGTGACAGGCTTATGCTCCTTGCCAGCAAATCGATTCCAACTCATAATAAACCCCAAACCCACTGCCCGACGAGTGGATCCTAAGTCATGGCACTCTCCACTGAGTTTCAGAGTCTGCAGATCTTTACAAGAATTTACTGTCCCTTTTTCCTGGGGAGTAACTGGTGCATTCGAACCACTGATATTTCAGTTAGCAGACCAAAATGTTATGCATTATAACACTAGGATTTCCTTAACTCGTAAAAAGAGTGAGTGGAGAAATTGAATAGTGACCCTTGCATAGCACAGCACAGCACAGCACCAGACATATAAACTAAAAAACTCACTGCTGCTTAGTCTGAGTACGAACTGGCTCATAGCTGACTGACCCTTCAGTGGATTTTCAGAGGTTGTAAATGCTGTGGGAGATGACTGCAGTTCTTTCTCCCACGGAGCAAGTAAGTGATGGATTTGAACTGCGAGATAGTGAGCCTCCTTGGAGTAGGCAACTCAAATCCTTATGGGCGAGGCTGCCTCATAATAAACCTGAAATACTGGCTGCTGTTATTTCCCCAGGACTGTCAGTGAACCCACAGAGGGTAGACAGGTTGCTACCCTCACAATTTTCAACACTTTCAGGCACCTCCTGCCTCTTCTTTTTTCCTGTCTCTTGCATGCCTTGGGCTAACTATGCAGCAAGTGTTTCTGTATCTGTCCTGAAAGGAACACTGCACAAATTAATTCCCTCCCTTTAATCCAACCACATTTCAAGGTAAAAAGGGGAAGAGGAATCACATTCCTAAGAGAAAGCTGCAATTTCTTAACTAAATCACCTTTCTTATGTATCGTGCATTCTCTTGTTTAGAGTCTCCCTCTTTGCCTGGTGATCGCCCAAGATGCCCGCGGATTGTCCACCTGTGGTGCTTCCACCCTCCCCCCACCCCAGCTCATAAAAGAAAGTTAAGCTGTGGCAAGGTTGCTAGGGAAGGATTCGGGGAGTTAATGTCCTTGTGCCACTAGAGGGCAGTATACGGTTACAAATGCAAGAAACTCTGGAGTCATCATCAGTAGTGACTTGCACTGCTAACTGGCTGTTGGAATCCACCAGTTTAAATTCACCAGTGGTTCTGAGAGAGAAAGATGGGCAGTCTCTTCCCAGTGTGCTTTACACCTTCTGCTGGAAGATCATTTTGGATCGGAACAGACTCAACAAGCAGTGAGTTTGAGTTTCCCAGGTGAGAAATAGAACTCTGGATTCAGCAACAATTATTTATATGAGGGAACTAGTATGGAGTAGACAGTCCATGCTTTATCATTTCTGTGGCTGTTTGGTTTTAGTTTCTGGTACAGTGGAACTCTGATGGCCTCATGGCAAGAAGCTGTGCTGCAATGCAGTTCGAGGCCACTAGCTGCTTGACATGAGGATGGCCAATCATGAGGATGGCCAATCTCCTGTGAGAGTTAGTGCCTCTAAAAACCTGCCAGAGGGTCAGCTGTGAGTCTGTTCGGACTCTGTGGTAAACAACAACAATAACAACAGGTAACCCGAGCTAGTGTTAACACTGTGCTGCTAGAGTCACCAGAGTTAACTCACATTTAGGAAAACATGGACTTTCTCCTTTTGTCTTCTCCAAGCTAGATCCTTGCATGGAAGAGAGGGTACAGCAGAGGCAAGACACTTCAGGGAAGCTGGCCCGAGACACTCCAGAGCCTTCCATGTAACGTGTCCTTTCTTAGGCCCCCAAAGGGTAATAGTAGCCTTTCTTCACTTATAGATGAGAAGAGGCACATTCTGCTCACAGATGGGGTTCTCTATTAGGACCTCAAAGGGGGAAATCAAACATACTGTTCTAATATTGCCCGAAAACCTGCTGCTCCTTGAGTTAGTTCTGACTCATAGTGTTGATATTTACACATGTTTACAGGAGGAGACTGCCTTCTCTTTCTCCCTTAGAATGATTCATATTCAACTCAATATAGTGCACTATATTAGGTTACTCTTACTCCTGTAGCTCCACTCATTTTAGATTAAGTGCAAAATGAAGGGTATTATGGGTTTAAAGAATAAGGATGTCGATTTAAAGACTAAGGTGCACCTGGTTCAAGCAGTGGTATTTTCAGTTGCTTCATGTACATCTGAAAGTTGGACAATAAATAAGGAAAGCTGAAAAAAAAAATCAATGCCTTTGAATGGTGATGTTGGCAAAGATATTGAGTATCTTTGTCTCACATACTTGGGCTTGTTGCCAGGGGAGGCCAGTCCTTAGAAAAAGGCATCGTGCTGGGAAAGGTAAGGGGTCAGTGAAAGGGAGGACCATCCTCAATGAACTGGGTTCACACAGTGACTGCCACATTGGCCTTGAGGATGACAGAGATCATGGGGATGGTACAAGATAGGGCAAGGTTCAGATCTGTGTTCATAGGGTCACTGTGAGTTATAGTCGACTCGACAGCGCCTAACAACAACAATGGAGTTATTAATACTGAGTTAGTAGGATATGGAAACCCTCGGTAGTTCTGTTTCTCTAAGAGGTACTTTGGAAGAAAGAGCTGGTGATCTACTTTAGAAAATCAGCTAATGAAAGCAGGGTGTGACTCTGACACACACTGGTAGCCGTGCATTGGAATCAACTTGATGGCCGCTGACTAACTAGACGCTCCCTCTAAGTGATGTTAAAATCCCTCCCTTCTTTGAAGATGCCTTAGGGGTACAGTGGTTAAGGGCTTGTCTGCCTCACCAAACAGACTGGGAGAGAAAAATATGGCAGTTCGCTTTCGTAAAAATAAAATACTAAAATAATACTAAAATGAAACCCACTATCATCAAGTGGATTCCAATTCAGGGCAACCTGCTATCAAGTTTCTTATGCCATAATTCTTTATAGAGGGAGTTCTCTCCTGGTGTATTCCACAGGGAGTTGCACTGCTTCCTCCCTGATGGTTTAAATTAACCAACTGCTCTGTGGGAGAAAGATGAACCATCTCTTCCTGTGTGATTTACAGACTCCCAAACCCCCAGTGGAGGGTCCGCTATGAGTAGGTTCTGGGGCAATGGCAATGAGAGAGAGTACTCTTCAAATCTAAACTTTCTCCCAAGGAGATTTGAGCCAACAAAGCATGTTACACAAGGGCTCAGAAACTCTGTAAGAAGGTTCTATTCTGCCCTGAAAGGAGCTCTGGTGAACAGTGATAAGGAGCTGCACTGCCAACTCAAAGGCTAGGGTTTCTAATCCACCAGCTGCTCCTTGGGAGACAGTTGGGCAAGTCTCCTCCAGTGAGATTAAAAGCACGTAGGTCTCTGAAAACCCACTGCAAGATCAGTTATGAGTCAGTTCTGTCTTGACGGCACATAATAATCACAACATTCTGCCCTATAGTGTCATAGCAAGTCAAAAGTCAACTCGGTGTGTGACCAAGCTTGTGCATGCCAGGTCACCTGGTACAGCAAAGGTTGTAACAAATACAGTTCAGGAGAGAAAAAAAGAGAAGTCAATACAGTGGCAACAAGTTTTCATTTTGTCTGTCATTTTGCTTTTCTTTTTACCTTTCCATTCCCTGCTGCTATTAGCAAAGATGAGGGAGCGCTGGTGGCCTCTTGGTAAGGAGTTGTGCTGCCAACCGCAAGGCATTGCAGTCTGAATCCACCATTTGCCCTGCGGGACGAAGATGCACAGCTTCCTCCCATGCAATTGACTGCCTTGTAAAACCCGCTGGAGGGTCAGCTATAGGTCGGTTCCCGCTGAGTGTTGTTACTCAACAATAACATAGCGAAGGCAGCCTCTAGATGGCACTAGATAAACAGCTTCCAGAGTGCATTTAACACCAGGTTTTTCAACCTCGATCTGTGGTCGGAAAATGTCCAGGAGAGGACGCTCGTTGGCAAGGGTTTTGTCTTCAAGCAGCGAAATAACTGGTCAGGCTGCCCGGGGCAGTGGTGTGACCAAACCGCGCTGCGGGCTGCAAGCGTTCTCTGGTGATTGAACTTGGGGTCCTCGTCTGCTGGGTGCATCCAGGGGGCAGCCTTTCTCCTCTTAATTTCCTTCCTGGAGTCCTTGATGGACCTCGGGTTCTTTAGTCTGAAGCAGTTAAGATGGGCTGGGGAAGGGGGAAGGAAGGAGGGGGAGAAAATGTGCAACAATGAATTAAAAAAAAAAAAGTCTTAACAACCTAAATTAAAAAAAAAAAGTCTTAACATCTTTTTTTAAAAAAGATCTCTACATCGCATTATTTACTACCCCTGTAAGATTCTTCTAGAGTGTTATCAAAACATGACCCAAATAAAAGTTCACAGGGAATTTGAGAGTGAAAAGGATACATTTTCCAGACTTTTTTTTTTTTTTAATGTAAGAAGACACAGGCTCTGGTGGGGTTTGTTGCTCCAGATTCTGGCAGGACCTCAATTTGAAGCTAAATTCCCTGACTTTCAGCCCAGCATTAATTTTACTGTTCCAAACAACTTCTTATATTTGAAAGACAATTTGAAGTGTGAGAAAACATAGGCCTTTTAGTTTCAAAGACAAAGATGAGGAAGTATTTAAGACTGTAAAACTTTTTTTTTACAGGATCATTTAAAAAAACTATGTTACGGACATTTTTCTTGATCTTATCTCTCTTATGGTATGTCAGTTTTGCAAGCCAGAGTTTCAGACCTGGGTTAACGTACAGCTAGCTCCCCCGTCTGTGACAGAGGCTGGGAGTGCCCTCTGCCTTGGGCGTCTTTATGAGGATTCTTGAGACTGAAGTGTGTTTTGGTTTTTGCCTGTGCAAGTCTGAACCTGTGAAGGTGTGCATCTGTATTGGAAGACTGTAACATCTTAGAGACAGTCATT